CGTAAAACCCAACCCCTGAGCCTAATTTCGACTTCTGACCCTAAATGCGAATCACTAACCCTTAACCAACCCCTACGTTAATCTCTAACAGTAAACCGAACTCCTGTCGTTAAAATCCCTACCCCTAATGCCAAACCTCTAACCGTAAACCCCAATTACTAAACTAACTACAGACCTTAAACCCAACCTCGACCCGAACTCCTAAACCCCTAACCATTAAGGGGCCGTCCATAAATGACGTCACGCACCTAGGGGGGGTGGTCAGACATTTGTGACGATGTGTGACGAAGGGGGGTGGGTTTGAGAAATGTGACGTCACATCAAAATGCGCAACTTTAAATAAATATAGACAACACGTTCTACTTAATTAAATAGACTTTTTAATAAATGTTTTGTCCTACAACATCAGAGCGCAGCGCCACATTCAATACGCACTACAATGACAATAGTTTAACGCAATATGAAGCCTGTGTTTTTTTTTGGGGGGGGGGCAGAGCTTTGTGACGTCATATTTGAGGGGGGTCTGACTTCTTGTGACGCCGTGTGACGAGGGGGGGGGTCAAAAACCGTCCAAAATCGCGTGACGTCATTTATGGACGGCCCCTAAAACCCTAACCAAAAAACCCAAGTGTACACCCTAACCACTAAAACCCTAACCTGACCCTGAAAACGAACTCCTATCCCTAAACCGTAGCTAATGTATTGTACGTTGAACTTCTTTCGCACCGTACGTAGCCAACCCGCGCTAAGCGGAGGTGCGGGAAAGCACAACCAACTGAACACACCAAGATAATGTCTAAAGAACTTCAGTTTTCAACTAAGATTTAAAAGTGCATAGCTCCAGAGACGTCCTAATGAACCCATGAAGGCCAACCCCTGATTCTACAAAAACAACTGTCGAAGCAGTGTTCATTCATAGTCCATCAAATGGCAAATGTCACCTACTAATAGTAGAGTAGTAGCCACTCCCATAACAAAATGTAATCCAAGGAATGTGTAACTTGGCCGATTACAGCACGAGTTGCATCAGCTTGTACTCACAAACCAACAATTAAGTTCAAAGCCTAAGTGTGGGAATCCGTGCATCTTCATCGACGGCCTCTGTCGATGTCAATTGTGAACATTCCACATTCAGGTGACAGGACCAGTCCATCCATTGGGCCTGTCATTAAAGAATGTGTATACACTTGGGACCAACATTTGTGGGTGAATTTGACAACAAATGAGTACTGGACGCACAGTCAACTGTTATAATAACAAGCTTGTCAATAGTGAACGTTCCACATTCAGGTGGCAGGACCAGTCCATCCATTGGACTGTCATTAAAGCATGTGTACGCTATACACATGGGACCAATATTTGTGGATGCGTTTGACAACAAATGAGTACTGGACGCATAGTCAGAATGTTTGATCAAGCGTTAACATATTTAAACGCATTTAAAGTAAAATAAGCGTAACTTTACGGCGATTATAATGAGTAAACACGTGCCCGACCCAACACATACATCGCAAAGCTAAGCCGGTATCGTGCCTGCGTAGTGCTTGGATGGACAACCATGCATCATAGCAAGTTGTTATAGACCGCATTTATGGCTTTATTTTGGTGATTTCTAAAAGTTTTTTGGTTTGGCCATGTTTTTGTTTATTGTAGTACGGAGTTAGACTGATGGGGCCTTAATATAAGTTTTCTTAAATTTTGATTTAAAGCTTTCGTGACTGCAGTAATTCATATTCTTAGCTCTTTCGGTAAAATCACGTTGAAGGGAAACAATAAAATATATATAAAACAATAAAAAATATTTTATTATTATTTTTATTATTTTATTGTTTCCCTTCTAAGTTTTCTTGTTGTTGTTTGACTTGCATCCCACTGGGATTTTTGCACACAGCGTTGGTGTACGGTGTTATTTCAGGAATATTTCGATTTTTTTCTGGATTTTCTGTTTGCACAGTCACTTTAAGATGTTTTCTTGTTCATGTTTTTATTTTTTTGTTTGTTGCGGTTGCACCCGATTCAAGAGCCGAATGGCTCGCGGGACTATACCAAAATAAATGAAACTAAACTAAAACTAAACTAGGGGGCGTTACAACACAACCCATTGTTGTACTATACTACGTCGCAACGTCTATGCTTCCAACCACACCACCCACCCCCAACTTCACCAACCCGCTCAGCCCAACGTCAAGTGCTGAATAGTCAAAGGAGAGGCCTCCATCGACCATGGTGAATCCACTGCTGGATGAATGCTCTCTCGAGACGCCGCCGGGTGTCAGAACCCCCACGAACTCCTGCACAGTACTCGAATGCCATCTCCATCGCTCCGTCTCACGGGGGAGGTGGAGACGTGACGTGGGGGACGCGTCTTTGTACAACGCGCATACGATTGGTAAAACTCGTCAGTAACGATGACGACGTTTCGGGTCAACGAGCCGTTCTTCGCAAGCGCGTACAAAATGCCATAAACGCGCAAACGGATTAACGTGAACTTTAAAAAAAAAACCCACAGTCCTTAACAACGCTACAGAATACAACCAGACCGGACACTCAATATACTAGTCCGGATGAGCGAGCAAGCCACGCCGCCGACTCTCCCAGCGTTAACCGCCCCCCCCCCCCGCCGCACGCCGTGATCGCTTCGCTATAATCACCCGCGGCAATCTGGCGAGCCGCCGACGCGTCCCTGCCGTCCACGGCGAGGCTCAGCAGCCCGGAGACATCATGCTCGCTCCACTGCTGCCCTGGCGGCACGGCCATGTGGAGTCAATGTGGCCCTCGCGGTAGGCAGCGCCGGTGGAATTACATTTCCCAGTGCGGTAAAGCGGCGCGGTTCGTGAGATGGGGCGCGGGTCGGGGGGGCGGGTTGGTGGTGGCGGGGTGACCAACTTAGCCAATGGGAGCGCGAGTTTGGGTGTGGGGGGTGGTGGGGGTGGCAGGTGACCAATCAGCCAATGGAAGCGCGAGTTTAAGTGGTGGGGGGTGATGTGGGGGGGTGGTGGGGGGGGGTGGCGGGTGACCAACCAGCCAATGGGAGCGCGGGTTTGGGTGTGGGGGGGTTGGTGTGGGGGGGGTGGTGGTGGCAGGTGACCAACCAGCCAATGGAAGCGCGAGCTTGAGTGGTGGGGGGGGTGGCGGGTGACCAACCAGCCAATGGGAGCGCGAGTTTAGGGATGTGGGGGGTGGTTTGTGGGGGGGGGTGGTCGGGGGTGCCCAACCCAGCCAATGTGTGGAGGGAAGTGGGTGCCGTTAACCAATCGGTAGCGCGCGGCTGGCGCGAGCGGACTACGAATTACAGATGTCGGGTTAGGGGTCATTCCGAGTGTGTCCGGTACGTGCGTTCAATAGACGTCCGCGTTGTGTTCGATAACATCGTCGTTGCTTGATAGTTTACCGCCCCCGGCTCGACTTAGTCTTATTTATATCGCGGTCGTTTTTAGGTGTGGGGCGGGGGGTGTGTGACAAAAAAAAAACGTGAGCCAGATGATTTGTGAAGGTTTCATTGTGGCGGCACGGGATTCACGGGGGGTGGTCAATGTTACGGGTTGACCCCTTTAAAAACAAAAAGGTTGAACTTTCCTCCGGGTCAATCGACAAACACCAGCAGGTCAAAAGCTTTAGCCTAAGTTTATTGCCACAGTTTCGTGAATTATTAAGTAGGTTTTTATTTTTTTGCGATCGAAATAAGTCAACGGACAACTTACTAACGACGTTTAATCTAAAGTCGTGGCTGTTTTTTTATAGTGTACAGTGTAGTGTATATAGTAGTGTTGTGTATAGTAGTGTGTGTATAGTAGTATATAGTAGCATAGCTGTCAACCCATACGGCTAAACACCGTATTCTTTTACAGCGAAATTAAGTTTTCACGCTTATACGGCGTGCAGCCGTTTCAATACGTGCAAAAACAACGTCTTAATGTCTTATTTGTGTTTCTCCCTTTGTGATGGGACTTTGTAGGATGAACGTTGAGATTTATAAGGGGCACGGTGGTGACAAATACGGTCTGAATTTGTCTGTAATAAGGTAGAGGGGCACTGATAAGGGGGTTGACATGTTTGAATTTTGCGGTGCAAGTGGTGACGATGTTAATTGAGTGTTAGAGTCATTGTGCTGAGCTGTGGTAGAGGCTTCACGGTCAGGGTCCCGAGTGGTGAATGAGGTTTGCAGCACAAGTCTCGTCTTATATTTGCGCGCATTAATCTCTCGTTTAATATTTTTGACCCTTTTAAGGATGTCACTTTTCATTCACATCTCATTCACATCGGTCGGTCTGCAAGGGCGGTCCACATGTCTTGTTACCCCCCCCCCCCCAATTCAGAATATTTATTTGTACTGGAGGAAGCCGATGAGCGAAAAAGCTCTTTATTTTTACACGCTGTTATTACATTACACGCTTTTATTTAACTCACCCGGTCTGTTGTATCCTCCCAAAAAAAATCTTGTAACTCAAATTTTACCCACTTCCCAATGTGCTATCGACTGCAAACTTGAAATACCTATGTCATACTGATGACAGCACTATATTCTATGATAACAAAATCCAAAACATATTTGTAAACATTTTACACGCTTTTATTTAACTTACTCTGTGTTGTATCCTTAAATTTTGTAACTCAATTTCAACCGTCTTCCCAATGTCGTATCGACTGCAAACTTGGTATAGGTATGTCATACTGATGACAATACTGTATTCTATCATTAAAAATATATATTTTAGAACAATATTTTTACGGCTCTAATTGTCCACGCTCAACTCACGTTGGCTGTTTATCTTGTTCGTGTTTTTTGTTTGTTGTGGTTGCACCCGATTCAAGAGCCGCATGGCTCACAGGGCTATACCAAAATAAATAAACTGAAAAATAAATAAGCTGGCTGTAAATCACCACGGTCCTTTACGTTATGACAAGCCTGGGGAGCCACGCCGAGGGGCGGGGCATGTGGAAGGAGGGGCGGGGCATGTGGAAGGAGGGGAGGGGCGAAGGGGGGCAGGGGGAGGGGCAGCTCGGATAGTACATTTCATTAAAGGGAACGCTTTTTGGCAGTAACTGTTGAATAATTTGTCCCTAAGCGTTGGTGCACACTTGCAAATGATTCACGCGGCTGTTGATTCACATTCACTAACGATTCACACTACTGCCAGTCATTTATGGGTGAGTCTTTGTAAATTACTGGACAGCATGAATCCCCCATGTTACATCTATTGCATACTGACTACTACATATAAAATATAGAATTAAGGCGCAATAGTGTAATGAAAACAATGCGATGGGCGAACGGCCATGTATACTGTAGGTGTGCAACGTAGTTAAAAACTATCTGTACGGTGTTGTTATAAACCATTTAATTCATCTAGACCCAAATACAAGAGCATCTCAAAATACTGCGTCATTTCATTTTACTTGTCTTTTATACATCAAATAATATCACGCATTTCGTTAACGATTGCTCTCCTACAAACTAGTGCCGTTACATTACTTCCATTGCGGCGCTGCATTATATGCTGCAAAGCTTCCAGTCTTTCTTAGAAGTCTCAGCAGACATGCACCACCGTTGCTGGAGCTGTGCATCGCATCTGTCTGCACCACAGCGTCAGTCCGTCTCGGCAAGGGCGATGCTGCGCTCCAGCGCTCGCTGTCTCCGCGTGGTGTCGGGCCACCTCGCCCACCGCAGTCGCTTCATCGCCGCGGCAGAAGGCTCCTCCTTATGCCGGGTGCAGCGGCCGGGACGCTTCGACGGCTCTGCCGACGAGAGGAGGAGGGCGCCGATGTGTCTGGGCCGCGTCTCCTGCCTCGTGGGGCCACGTGGGACCCCGTGCGCCACGGCCACCAGGACCCTGCATTTGTCGTCACGGCGGTCGGCGCCCCCGGCACTCCTGTGGCTCCTCACCAAGCCCCTGCAGAAGCTGGTGGCCATGATCCTGGGCAGGTACGGAGAACCCCGAGAACATCCTGGAATGGGCAAAGTGTTTGTTTTGTTTAGTACAAAATTCCTACAGTCGTTCCAATTGTGCAGCATATCACCGTGCCTAAAGGAGAAAGATATTTTGCTACAGCGTAGGTTTTTTGCTATTGTGATGTATGGACGGACCCTCCGATACAGTTCCTGAAGAAGCTGAAAGCACGTGGAGTGAAACATCGCACATCATGCCAAACGACACCTGGTTACACCCGAGAACACATCAGAGGGGAAGTATTTTAATCGGTGCATATTATCTATGCATGGATCAAAAGCGTATACATTAACTAAGGAAATGGAACAATGAAAAGCACGGAAAGAATCGTGGCGAGATCCATTTTTGGTATTGTAACCACACAAAAAGAGGAGCACGTTGATTATAGAATGTATACCAGATAGAGGCATCATATTGACCATTAAGAAACTATACTGGGCTTGGGCAGGTCACATTGCTCGCAGAGGTGATGCCCTTGGTTGACACCAGTGACCAACTTTATAATCGCACCTCCGATTAGCACGGTTGGCTACGTATGTTGCGTAGGAATTTCAACATAATGACGAAGTGGCAGCCAAAAGAGAGAACATGCCTGGAACAACATCCGCCGTAGAAATATAACAATTACATCGGCTCGAGAATTGTACCATCGCACAATTGTGCGATGTCACATCGGCTTGGGTAGGCCTTCATCTGGTTGCGGGTCGATTTACGACCGACGACGATCCTCCCGTGCAGGAGCCTCCGCAAGTGGTGGCAGGGCCTCCCGCAAGACAAGCGCGCCCTGCTGCGGGAGTGGGCGTCGCGAAACCGCGGGCGGATCGCGATGGTGGTGCTAGGCATTGGGGGCCTCTCTGTGGCATTCTACGTGACGCACCTGGACGAGACACCGCTGACGGGGCGCCGGCGTCTGCTAATCTTCAGCTCCGAGCAGTTGACCTGGCTGTCCGAGATGGAGTACAACGAGGTTGTTTGTTTGTCGGTTTGTTTTTGTTGTTGTTCAAAAGCTGGCCCGCGGCGACCCGCAATGTCATTCATTTGTGACATGCGGGGGCAGTGGCATTGCTGAGCGGTAGTGCGTTTGCCGCTTTTTGCAGAAGTTCGAGGTTGTGAGCCCAGCAGCAGCCCTGGTTAATACTGTGGGTGTATTAACTGTAAAAAATAAATCCGCGCCGTCCCCTTCACAGTGGAAGTTAAGGATCCCGTTGTTTACTAAAAAAAAAAGAGCAGGCCATGTGTGCCACCGTCATGAACTAAATTTGATAATCTACTCACAAATGACAACCTTTCTGAGATCTGTCGAGACGAGGCACATTGTGGGCGATTTGGTTATAGGTTTTTGTATACTCAAACCAACATGTACACGTCTCATTGCCGTAATAAGCCACATTAATATTTTTTAAAATTTTTTTATTGCTTTTTACTGCGACGAAAAAATGTATCTCTTGCCTGTGCGCGCCACAGACAATGGAAGAGTACAAGGACAACATTCTGCCCAAGAGCCACGCGGCTCACAGGGCGGTGGCGCTCGCCGTGCAGCAACTGGTGGAGAGGAACCAGGACGTGGCCCAGGTGGCGAGCACGCCCTGGACCGTCAGCGTGGTGGACCTGCCCAAAGCCAACGCCTACGTGCTGCCCGTGAGCACCAGCGTCCGTGGTGACCCGTCACTGGAGAACAGTTCCGTCTCTCTTGTGGCTTCAGAAAATGTTGGAAATGTGGGAAGTCCCGAAAGGAATAGTTCTCCCTCTCTCTGGTTTTTCGCAATGGAAGCAATCTGCAAAGCTTACAAGACATAAAACATAGCACACTCATGATAGCCTTTGTATTACAAGAATGGCACGAATACCAAGTATTGTTGTCCTTCCGCACCTCTGATGAACACGGTTGGCTATGTAGTGCGAAAGATGTTCAACATACAAATATAGCTACATTTATTAGCGCTGACAAACAGCGCTAAAAGGATAAGAGTACGTACAAAGTTCTTACGTTGTTGTTTCCCTTCTACGTTACTTTACCGAAAGAACCAAGAATATGAGAGACAGACAATGAAGAAAAAGGAGGAACACCAGACTTGCAGATATCTTTTAGCGATTTTTTTTTTTATTCGGGAAACTTGACTCGTTTGTAATGTCCGTCTCGTATGTTGCGTCTCGTGTGTTCCGTATAGTGCGTTCAGTCTTCGCGACTGTTAAGAAAGGTGGGCTTGCTTTTCAGAAGAATCCATTTCCCAAGTAAACCCGATTGAGCTATACAGTTTTTTCAATGGCGACTTGGCCAACAGACGTCCACTTTCATTGGGGCTAAGCATCGCCTATGCTTATTTGCCGTCGGCACCAGTGCGGTGTTCATTGCTGCCATCCCTAAGGGAATATTAATAATTTATCTCTGGGTATTTGGTGCTGCTCCACGAGTATATAAAAAAAGTATCTTGCCTATAATGGCCAGGTAGCTTAAGAGATCAGAACACTGAGAGGGCTGAAATCCTGAGTCGTTGGTGACTGGGCTGAGACCATCATTAACTCACTACACTTGAGAACTCGGTTTAATCACAGGCAGCTTCCTGGATTCAAACGCAGAATCTCAGCAGTGCCAGCTCAGCGCACCGATCGCCGAGCTAACCCAGCCACCTCAATTGTTCAAAATCTTGAGATGCAGTCACATTTTAGACACCGACCCCAGACATCCAAATTGCAACAGCTTTTTTTTCTCTTTTGTGTGCTTGTTGATGTGCGACGAGGCAGAATGGCCAGATCTTTGTGTTCACGGGCATGCTGGAGAAAGTGGCTAACGCGGACCAGCTGGGCATCGTGCTGGGCCACGAGATGGCCCACGCCGTCCTGGGACACGCGGTAATGTCAGCCCGCTCGCTCACCCAGTGTCGCTCGCTCACCCAGTGTCGCTCGCTCACCCAGTGTCGCTCGCTCACCCAGTGTCGCTCGCTCACTCTGTGTTGCTAACACGGAACTCGCCCCAGTCATAGGTTTATTTGGGTTTACATATTTTGGGGTACGTGGCCTCTTTTAAGATCAAAGCTAGTTCTCTCATCTTGCAGTCTCTGCCAGAAGGTAGAGAGAGACATGACAATACAACCAAGACACAAAATAATGATACGTAATTCTAACTTTAAATCGTTGCAATCCATCCAGTCGCAGCTGGCGGCGATGGATTCATTAAAAGTGCATCAAAGGTTCGTTTGTCGTAAACGTGTTGTGTGCCCTTGCAGGCGGAGAAAGCGAGCTTCCTGCACTTCATAGACGTTTTCTCTCTGGTTTTTATCACGATAATTTGGGCCGTGCTGCCGAGAGACTGGCTCTCAGCTCTGGGGCACTGGGCTCACAGCCAGGCAATGCAGGTAACGATTTCCATTGACCCTTGCATTTTCAGTCATACCAAATGCGGCAACATACATCTTAAAAGGCATGAATGTTTATATTGTAAACATAATTAAACAAGAATGGCTTGTGATTTTGTTTTTATGTCGTGACTCGGATATTTGTTTACTAGAAACGAAAAAAGTTAACGATCATTTTTTTATGTCCAAATGTTGATAAATTGCTTACTTAAAGCAACAACTATTGATTAAAAATATACAATTTAAGATGCATTTATTTAAAGAAAATACTGTTTTTTTTAGTAAAGTCACATAGGTAAAAAAATTAAAGAAATGAAAACAACTAAATTAAATCACGTTTCGGAGGCAACACAAGGTTCCTTCATCAGGTGTAAAAAAGGCACAGCAAAATAACTGTAGAGAGAGCTATTTGTGATGATAGACTGTTACATAGGGTAAGAGGAGGGGGAGGAGCCGGGGAGGAGCCAGGGAGGACGGGCGCAGGATGGGGGGGGGGGGTTGGGGTGTGGGTGGAGCCAGGAAGGTAAAGCTCCTGGAAAACATCGGAGCCACGGATGGGGGGGGGGACGCGGAGCAGGGTCGAGTAGCGGTTGAGGTTTAACATGGTTAATGACATCCTTCCAATGATTGCTCAATTTGAATCCATCTTCTCGGTTGAAGTTATGTCTATGTTTGTCTATCTGTATGGCTTCAAGGACAAATCTTTGGTGATATCCAGACGGCTTGCAGAGTACCTTGGTATCGGAGAAAACTATCATAACCCACAGTGTTGTAACAGTCATCAGCTACGGCCGAATATTTCATTCTGCCGTGTTTCAAATCTGATTTGTGCTCGCGAATTCGGTCAGAAATATGTCGTTTCGTCTCCCCGATATAGCAGTCACCGCAGGTACAACTTAATTCGTAAACACCGGGGTACTGTAAGTCAGGAATGACATCCTTTACGGATGGGATCAGATCACGGATTTTGTGTACTGTATTGAAACGGACCTGGATCTTGTGTTTGTTTAGAATTTTGGAAATCTTTTTGGTAACGCCTATGTATGGCCTCTGAAACGTCGTGATTTCATTTAGTTGTTTTCATTTATTTCATACCTACGTGACTTTACCGAAAAAAACAAAGAGTATGAATCCTTACAGTCACGAAAGCTTCAAATCTAGAATTAAAGAAAATAGTTGATTTTGAAATGAGAAAATAAAAAAAAACGTACAAAATATCAAATAAGTTGATCCACTGCCTTCGGCAGTGCCTTCAGCAGCGGATTAACAAAGGGATGTTATGAATATTTAGCGCTTTGACCATGTACAGTTAAAAAACATACATGTATATTTTAGTTAAAAAACAATAACGTGCGTAGTTTTTCATGCAAAAACTGACATTTCCAATTTAATTCCCAAGGCTTTACATCCACCCAGTAACACTCATTGCACAATAACGCGACTTCAATTCCGTCCAATAACCGTCGTCCGTTTCGTGGCGGCGCCCACAGCTGCTGCTGGACATGCCCTACAGCCGCCAGCTGGAGAGGGAGGCCGACGAGGTGGGGCTCAAGCTCGCCGCCAAGGTCAGAGACAATGAGGGGGGCCCCTCGGCACCGGTGCTTAATATCTCGCACAAATAATTTCCATGCCGCTGGCATGCAGACTGAAGCGGCAGTTCGACGTCCTTCTCCCGGCACCTTCGATTAGCACGGTTGGCCACGTACGGTGCGAGAGAAGTTCAACATGCAATTTTGCAGCAGGTGGCACGAGACTCTTGCCCACAGCCATAGCGCAAGGTGTACTGGGTGCAGAAACATTTTCCCGGGTTGCCGATCTGGTCAAACCCAGCCAAAACGTAGGCCCTGCTTAGTGCCCTCCTACTACTCAACATCGCCACCCACACGGCTCCCGCTGTCGGTCATCGCAGGCCGCTCCAAACTCGGGACGAAGCACCAGCGCCACGCGATTAAGCGCAATGCTTTTTAATCCTGGAATGTTTCAACTGATGGTATTAGTGCCATGGGCGGCGTGTCACGTTTCTATGCCTCCATCAAAAAAAATAATGCTGCCACCATAAAACATTTTTAACAAAAAATGGTGTGGCATGATGTGCAATTTTTACAAAATGGTTTTTAACAGTTACAGCATCTCTTCATATTCTTAGTTTTTTCGGTAAAGTCACATTGAAGAGAAACAACAAAATAACAAAATATATAAAACAATAAAAAATTCTCACGACGTTTCGACCATAACTCAAACGGTCATCATCAGGTGTGTCGGTTTGATGATGACCGTTTGAGTTATGGTCGAAACGTCGTGAGAATTTTTTATTGTTTTATATATTTTGTTATTTTGTTGTTTCTCTTCAACGTGACTTTACCGAAAAAACTAAGAATATGAATTACTGCAGTCACGAAAGCTTTAAATCAAAAGTTACAGCATCGTTCGATTTTCAAATGTGGCAACTGCAACATTTGTGCCCAACAAAAAGGTTTAAAAACACTGTTTTGTCTTAATCTTTATGCGGCACCAAGGATTCACCTCTTGCCCATGTGTAGCATTTGCATGTGAAATAATCCATACCAGAAGCATATCATATGGTGAAAAACGACATCCTTTGAAGATATATCTTACAACTGCTGGAGTGTCCTCCTTAGCGATGCGGTTCATGCCTGCGTGCTGAATTAGCCAAGGACTGGCAAAACATTAAGTGAAAATAACAATATCATGGGTCACGTGTGCAGTTATCGGTGACTTAAATCTATCACATTTTTTGTACTCGAGAACGCGGATTAATCAGGGGTGGCTACATCCAACATTAACATTTTGAGCCCCCAGTCACTCAGCCACTTACTAAGACAGCTAAACCTCGTTCAAGTCTTGATGACAACATAAAATAAATTCCATAAGTGGCCAGGTAGCTTGGGAATGAGAGGACTGAACTGGCACTGCCGAGATTCTGGGTTCGAATCCTTGTGATTAAACCGGGTTCTCAAGTGTAGAGAGTTGATGAGTTGAAAGGCTCAGCCTGGTCACCAACATCTAAATAAAAACAGATTCAATCCACGATCCTGCACTTAAAATGGGTAAAATCTAGCTCCGATCTTGAAAAATATCGTAACATTACTCTCGGTGGCAGAACGATGTGAGAAAGTGCCACCGCCTATATGCGTGGAGCAGAGGTCACTTGGGAGCAATCTCAGAGGTAACTCTGCGACATCTGCTTCCATGGACGTTCTCCAACATGTTCTCGAGCGGAGTCGCACTGCTCTGCGAGAGCTTTGCATGGCATGACGCGGATACCACAATAGGGACGAAAGTTGAGAACGTGTATATATATATTTATCGCTGCGTTGCGCGCATGTGCCAGTTCAGGCCTGCTTTGACGTCCGGGCCAGTGTTGCATTCTGGGAACAGATGCACACGTCGGAGGAGGAGGGTGTCACGCTGCCCGAGTGGCTGTCGACGCACCCCTCGCACGAGCAGCGGGCGGCTCACCTCCAGCGCCTGCTGCCCCAAGTATGCTTCCCATTCCACCACCACCACCACCACACTAGGGTTGCCACCTGGGAATTGACATCCGTGTTCGGGTGGCAGGAATTGATTCGTACCGAGACCTGGTACCGGTATTGTGAAGTTTTCCTGGCTTGGTTGAGAAGTTGGGATTGTGGTCTGGGATGTGACCTAATGGACTCTTTTGTTTGTGATAACTTTTTGTTGTTGTGCTTTTTGTTCTGGTGCCATTTATTCATTTGTTTATTCATTTTTCATTTTACTTGGCAGTAGGGATTTCATTTGCTTGGTGTGTAGGTGTGTTTATTGATCTTCTTTCGCGCCATGCGTATTCAGCCGTATATATGGTCCTTATACATAATTAATGGAAAGCGTTGTGGGATGCTGTTGGCATGAATGCTGCTATATAAAATTGAAGTATTATAGTTTTTACTGCAGTTATGATAGACTTAGTGCTGAGAAATATCCGGGTTTGGTCGGCAGTGGAAAAGGCATTGACATCACACTGCACCCTCGTAGTCCCAGCGGATGAAAAACCAGCTTCACCCTAGAGCGTCAAGGCTCGGTGCATCATTGTCAACATCCATTATCAATTCACTGCTGGATGATGGCCTCTCCAAGCAAATCACCGTCTCTCAGTCCTGTAATGCGCATTTGTGATGGACTGTACTCATAAGAGTGCGCAACAACAAATGTTCTTATATACAATGTAATATTCCATCTTGCATCTGCACAATACGAGATTATTTCATTATTCAATCTCTGCTGGCGATGTCCTCTTAGGTGTGTTTTCTCCTTTGGCTGTCGCGACGTCAACCAACGGCTATCCCTTCCATGGATGTCTCTTGCCCAACCCAACTTACTGTTTTTGATAGTCATTATGATGCCTCTAACTTTCCACGATCTTCATAAATATGCACGCTTCTTTCCTGTTGGGTTTAATTCCAAGCATGCACCTCTGCAGGCTTCTTTGCGCACTTTACAACTATGGTTCCATTTATGATGCGTGTCATCGCGGGCCATATATACACGAATCAAAAACCACCAATTGGTATGCTCACAATTCAGTTTACGTATATCACGAACCTCAGAATCAATTCGTACCAACGAATCGATGCATCTTGAAACACCTTCTGGACAGTAGTTTCATCCTGTTGGTGGGTTTGCCCGCGTTCTCCCATGCCGCAGGCGATCAAGCTGCGCGAGGCGTGCAATTGCCCGGCACTCGCCAGCCTCGACCCGCGTCTCATGCTCCGGATCCTCAAGGCGGCCATCACAAGCCCGGGTGGCCGCCAAGCGCTGGCGCCCTCCCTGGCTGCCGTGCCCATCCTCCCGGTCGGCGTGGCAACCGTCGCGGAGAAACCATCGCCGGGCGGAGATCGCATAACGTCGCGCCGTGGAACCGGCCCGGAGGGACAGTGATGCACGACGTACGGAGTGGACAAGAGGGATCACCGCACAACCCACCCACCTCCTGTACGGTTGAGGACTAATACTTGACCATGCTTGTGGGTTCAGTGCAAGCAAGCCAAGTGGTTGCAGTGCTTGGGGCTGGTTTACATATCACCCCTGCCACTGATGTCAGCCGTGGCCGGGATTGAACTCGGCTCGCTGGGTTGGTGACGTAGTGTGCAATCCACCCCAACACAGCTCCCTCTTCTCCTCTGCCGTGTGTCGGTGCTTTGCCCCAGAGACAATTTTAAGGAACGTGAAGATGTTTCAATGGTGCGCAGTCAAATGCACTCGCGTGTCGGTATTTCTTGAAAACCAAAAACAGAAAATCAGATAACCGGGAAAATCGTGATGCTGGTTAAGCAATATTTATTTGAACTATTTTCGTAAATGTCTCGTAGATGTCACGGGAAAAATAGGAATAGGAGTTTTTTCTAAACGTCTTGAGTGTGCGGTCAAAAATGGGAAATTAAGGTTTGTTGTGGTGTGGGTTTTTAGCCACAATTTTTTTAAGTTAATAAAAAAGCCCAGAATTATTATTTTTTTACAAATGTTGCCTAAGGTTCCAGGATTTACTTGTTTTTTTTTCTCTTGTTCTTTGTTTTCTTCTTGTCCGCTGCTGGCATCTTGGCTGTACCCGTCTTGGGCCTTGCACCAGCATTCTGTGCAGCCCTGCACGCACAAACAACCCCGTCATGAGTGCCTTCTTTGACTCAAAGACAAATATACAATGCAACACTTGAGAGGTGGCTGGGGGTGCATCGTAAATAAGGCAGTGCACGTGTGAAAAGGCTCGTACGATGTCTACATGCGTGTAACGCTTCACACGTAACCTACATACGTGTGCAAGGTGTGCCATTATGAACTTTTCTATGCCATTAGGTATTGAACGTGGCCACGGCCACACAGTGTCTGCGATAGAATGCTGCGTAGTAGAAATGCGAGGTGGCCAAGTGGTTCAGGAAAAGAACTGGTCTGCCCCTGTCAGAAGCTGGCACCACTGACGTCCTAGTTTTAAATCCAGTACTCCACAATATGCACGTCAGACGCATCAGTGACCTAACTAAAATAATTCTAGATTTGAAGTTTCCGTGACTGCAAGGATTCATACTCTTTGTTTTTTTCGGTAAAGTCACGTAGGTATAAAATTAAATGAAAAAACTAAATTAAATCACGACGTTGCCTCCGAAACGTCGTGATTTAATTGTTTTTTCATTATTATTTTTTACCTACGTAGCTTTACCGAAAAAACCAAAGTGTATTAACGAAAATAAGTTGGCTTGGGTAGGATACGTCGCGAGATGGGATGGCCGGTGGTGGGGACTAACAACGGAGTGGCAGCTAAAGGAGGGATCGTGCCCCAGCGAACACCCAACATGGAGACGGAGCTGTGGAATCGGCACATGTGCAGGTGCCAGATGGATTGTTGCATTGCAGGATCATGAGGTGGCCTGGGGGAGGCCTTCATCCGGCACTGGATTTGATCTTGGCTGATGATGATTTCCACAAAAAATAAAACCATCGTCTTGGGTAGTGCTCTTAGTAGTCTTGCATCAAAACAAAATAAACAATTGTGATAAAGTTTAACTCTCCAGTGCTTATTTGCCAGCTGAGCACGAGACCAACCATTCATCCACACAGCTGGGTTCAGTTTAGCAGGCACAAAGATGGAACATTTAAGATTATCTAGCAAACAGCTCATTACACACAGTGACGTGGCTCTGCTGCTGCTAGGTTCAAGAATGGATACGTGCTTTGTCCAATAGCAGCACAATTGGGAATTGATTATTATTTGGAAATTATTAAAGTAAGCAATGATAACACTACACGCAACCTGAACAGAATTATCAATTTTTTATAGCATCTAAATGAGACATCTCAGAATCCTCTACAGGAACAGTATGCATATGTACTTTACAGGAAGAGGCAGTCGGGATTCCAGAGGAGGGTCTCGGAGTCTGGACTTGAACGGGGAAGTGGGGGTAGGAGTTGTAGACAGCACAGATGGAGGGAGGGAAGGTGCTTTCTAGACTATCGGGGGTGCGTGGTTGGAGCAGCTGTGGCGGACGAGTGAACTCCCACGTTACCTGCCCTGCGTTTTCGTCGTTGCTGGGTTCAGGATGACCACCTCGTCCTCCTCGCTGTCATCCGAGCCCAGACTCTTGTCCGCTGAAAAAAATATAGAGCAATTTTATAGAGAAAAATATCGTGCGTACGCGTGGATTCTGTAACACTTTCCAACATGTGTTCGTGGAAATGGTCATTCTTGCCTGGGTTTGAGTATTGGACCATACGAGTGTTACCGTGCCCCCCCCCCTCCGGCCCTTTTTGGATTAAGGGAGGGAGCTGATGAATAAACGCTTTCAACCTTGGTTGTAAAGCGTAAAGTGAAGATGACTTTGCCAATTTGCACATTACTAAAACCCGTACAGATGAAAGATTCTGCAGGAGGTGTAAACTACATATCGTTTCTCAATGGAATCTCACACGTGGTTAAATAAATGTGACTTGTTGTGAGCAAAGAGGTTTATACTGTTGAATAAATATTGCCTGAAGTGCGCACTGCTCTTTGGATTTTTTTCTTTTTTCAGTTAGGCCTGTACTGATGCGTCGATTCAGTTATTCAAATCGATTCTCACGCTTATAAAATGTGCAGGTAATAGATTGTGCAGCAATTTATTATAATTGACTATCGAAATAATATGCAAATTATATGCCGATATATATCGGCCAATGCAATTGACAAAACAAACCCAAATGAACAAATGAGAATACAAACGAAAGGGTAAAATCAAAACAAAAACATGGATTCTTAACCCTCAAGCATCAAGTTTGCTGCGGTGGACTGTTATGAAATTATGTAAGAGGTCTTCGACACATCTGGGGAGTGAATTAAGACTCCTACAATCACATTAAAGTGACGTAAAACATCCTTGGATTTGATGTCAATTCATGCAGGAGGGTTAAAAATCCCACAGTCGAATTGTGGCAGTTCATCAAGCTGCTGAAGTAGGGGTGAAAGGTCAAGTGCCCAGTTTGCGAGTTGCGCCGTCACTCACCTTGCACCGATGCTGGATCGCGAAGCTCCGTGCCGGTATCGGCCAAACCCTCTTCTCCCGGCATCTCGTCGTCCACCTTGTCATCCTCGCTTTCCAACTCCTCCTCGTCCTCGGCCCATGCGTTGTGCAGGCCCTCGCCGATCTGCGCCGTGCCGTGGCCCCACACCTTCAGCTCCGATACGCTGCACGCACGCACAGAGCAAACGCACGCACGCACACCACCACAGGGAGAGAGAACATGCAAACTCCAAATATGCAGGCGTCAGGGTCAGGATCGAACCCACAGCCAACTGTATACTATGCGAGGTGGTTAACATTTCACCAATCACGGCACCCCCAAGTGGTGTTAAGACGAGTGGGCGAACATCTGGTGAGCGATTGACCTGGACCCCGAGGCGCGTAACGATGCGAAGTAAAGCCATCGTGGTCGCGGCGTACGCTGGCAGCGCCGTGGTGGGGGGCGGGGGGGGGGGGGGGTGCGTGGGGACGGCGCGGTTACGCACACGCTGGCCGCGGGCTCCGCTTGGGCAACGACCTCGCGAGCGCGGTCCTCCGCCTCCTCCGCCTCCTCCGCCGACACCACCGCCTCCTCGGCACGCAATGCCGTGATGCGCTGGGTTGGCAGTGACTCCGCCATGCCGCACTTGCGCCCCTCCTTCCTGCTCCGGACAGCAAACCAGCCACACAGCACAGGGTCGTGCATCCGACCTGTCAAAACGTCCGCACCGAACCGATCTAACAGCCCGCGAGCATGGCTCCGTATTTGCGCAAGGTGGAATCGTTACGTTCGATAGATGTTCATGAATATGACCCTTTCCACACACGCGACCGTGTGTTCTTAGAAACAGTGGCTCCGTGACGCACCGGGCTTGCGCGTCGTTTTTGAGCGCCCGCTGGATGAGCTCCGTGATCTCGCCCACCTTCACGTTCGCGATCTTCGTGCAGCGCAGCATCTGGTGGGGGGGGGGGGAAGTGGGGCAGCGGCGACCAAGCAAATGCAGAGTCAGCGTGGTGGTGGTTGTGCAGCACGGGGTTCCAGATCGGCTACGTGTGATGGAGAGCAAACCAGGGTACGTGGGTTAGGGACAGAGCACCACGATTATTTTAGTTTGTGTGCGTGTGTTGTGATCTCGCTGGTTGCCCATGTTTGACAGCGTGTCCGCGTGTGTGTGTGGCTATGAGCGCGTGTGTCAGGTGCAAGTGGCCTCAAAGTGCACCTGCCCTGGCACAGCTGCCGTGGTGACGTCACCGTGTGTCTGTGTGGTTGTCTCACCTGGTCTTGTGTGAGCATGATGCCACCACTCGATTGCACGGCGCACAGCTCTCCGTGCTTGTTCATTGCGATCACGAGTCGTCCGTCCATCACCCGCTCCTCCAGTTCCGTGGCGTCCACCAGCAGATACGTGCTGCACCGAAAGCCACCGACACGTTTAAGACATTATTATTAAGCTCGTTTACCCAAAGCCGATGTTTAAACACCGCACCGGGTACTGGTTATGAATGAGTTGACCTAGGGGAGACCCGCGACCCGTTGTAATGTCGCTCTCCATCGATGTTAACCGTGATGGGGGAATTGAACTCAGGTCTCCGGGTTTGTAATGCAGAGCAATAACCACCGCACACACCACTGCACCATCGCTCTCACATACACAACTAAAATAACTGCGATTCACCAGTAGGTGACCGTGGCATCACCACGATGCTTGTGACACACTAGGGACACATACGCAAGTAAATCTAAACATAAATATAAACAATCGCACCTCCGCTTAGCACGGTTTCACACCTTCGCTTAGCATGGTGCGAAAGAAGTTCAGCATACATACATACAAACCACAAACATCACACGTGATTATTTGCACTGCATTAGCAGGTAGCAAAAAAAAATTGTACAAAATCTTTAAAATCACATCACTACCCTGAATTGTGAAAAGTCACGGAAACTCTCAAAGCCCAACTGAGCTAAGCAATTATTTTACAAGGACGATCACAGTCTGTCGGTGGCGGAGGTGCAGGTGGGGAGTAGTCACATGCCTAGCGAACAGCGCCCTCGTGTGGAACTCACCCTTGCTCGAAAAACGCGAAGCTCACCGGCATAGGCATGTGATGGATGCTCAGCGGAACGGGGTCTCTCTCCTCTGGCGGGTACTTGGGAAGGGGTGGAGAGAAAAATTCGCGTCGCTTCACTCATTGAAGAAGAAAAAAAAAACAGCTGGAATGCCAATTCGTTAAGGGAACATCAATATTTTTTTTTTGCTGGGGGAATGAGGCCGCGCGAAAAAAAAGTCGGCGCGGAAACGGACAGAAACACAGAGGGCCCTTGTGTTCCATCACCGATGCGTTCCCATCCAAACGTGCGTGCAACTAATCGTGACGCTCTGTTATATATTAATGAGGAATCTTCTATTTGTTTTATATTAATGAGGAATCTGTTCAATGTGGATTTCTGCAGAGCAGAACCGCGAGGGATGGCAACGACTCGGGGAGGACTTCGTCCAGCAGTGGATTGACCATGGCCGATGATGAGGAAAAATTGAGAAGCGCTTCTCGTGGGCGAGCGGGTGGACGCGGTGGGGGGGGGGAGGGGGGCGGTGGGGGCGGCACCCACCACGGTGACCTCGCTGCCCTGCACCGACACGTCGGGCCGGCGGAAGTGGGCGAGCGCCGTGACGGCCGCCACCGTGGCCGCGTCCAGAACGTTTCCGTCGTGGTTCAGCAGGTGGACGTCGGCGCGGATCTGCCACACCTGCACGGGCACCGAAAACAACGCGTGACTCCATGCGCATGTGTTGCGGTTGGGATGACAAGGTGCCATAGCCTGGACTTGCCAGGAGAAGACAGGACAGAAAACTATGCAACGATATCATCTTCGCCTTCTGTATGGGATAGAGTGTTGCCCCCTCGCACCCAATGGGTGTTCTCCAGGTGCTCCGTTTTTATCCCATGCGTATCAACACTCATTAATTGGCTGGGAGATGTGCATGAGAGACAGAAAGCAAGAAGAACACATGGCGTCGGAGAACGTACATCATATCGAATGTGTAACCAAATGTTTTATTTTGCTTTGCCAGGACACGTCCGCTAGAAGGGGTGACAGCCGGTGGTCGAGACTAACGACGGAGCGCCGGCCATAGGGAGGCAAGACGCCCGAGAAGACATCGATTGCTGATACGGAGCGGCTGAGATCGGCTCGTGTGCAGGAGCTCGGCGGATCGTTGCATCGCAAGTCCGCGAGAGACGGTGACGGTTCGGGGAGGCCTTCTTCACCCAGCGGTGGATAGACAATGGACAAAGGGGCTGTACGTGTACGCGTCACATTCAGCGGCAGTGCTGCCTCACCTTCTCCCCGGCGATCACGCACAGAGACTCGGTGTCCACGCAGCGCGACGTCCTCAAGCAGCGCTCCAACAGGCGGTTCAGCTCCACGCCCATTTCAGACTGCCTGTGGTGCGTGCACACCCGCACACACACCGCACGCACGGTTGGCTATGTACGGTGCAAAAGAAATTCGACACATATACATAAGCATGACTTCGCCCCCTACTGGCAGACTAATGCAGTACGGGGGAGGTGGGGCGATGATTGTTACGTATAAACCGAATGAAGTAATTTACACACATGCAGACAGACGCACACACGAATAGACACACATGTACAGCCACACGCTCACGTGTATAGGCAGTCCCCGCTTTTACGACAATGCGTTGTTACTGGAAACCCCGTCGATGTAAACTGGATCATCGTAATTCGGACCCTATTTTTCTGTAATGGTAAAAACATCACTTGTCGATGTGTTTTTCCTTTTATAAGCCATATTTACCAGGGGTTTAATAGGTAAAAATCCACAAAAAAAACACTCCAGAATAACAAAAGCTCAACGCCAACTAAGAAACCAGACCTACTCTGTTCAATTGCAGAATCATAAAATGTATTTATGCTGGAGGAATATGCGTCGTAAAACAAGTTTCTGCCCCGTAAATCGATCCACGGCGACCGTTACGTAAACTCCGTAAAACACGTGGATCATCCGTAAATTGCACCGTCGTAAAACCGGAGACCGCCTGCACACGTGTGCACGCACGCGACACGAGACGCCATCACCGCCGCTCGTGCGAAGGCGAGAGACGGCGGCGGCGGCGGGGCAGCTATTGACGAGAGCTCACCTGCCCGCCTCCAATGCCGGCGACGCCATGGGCGAGAGCTCCAGGTTGACAAAGAGGATGCCGTCCGTCGGCCGGTTCTGCTTCGGCGCCACCAGCTCGCAGGAGACCTGCGCCAGCACCCTGCGGGCAGGAGGAGACGGCTCGGCGCGGAGGGCAAAAGGAGAGCGGGTCCTCGTTTTTTTACACGGCACTGAGACGGGCTCGTGAAAAGCGCGTCGAGCGAAAAACGATAAAGTTTGGCGAGAAACGATGCAGGCATGGCGAGAAGGCGGGGAAAATAACTGAAGGTACGCTGCTGTGTTGCGGGTATCATTCCGCGTGCTGTATCGTACTGCTTA